ACAGGCGCAGACTATTCCGTCATGAGCAGGGGACTTGCCAGAACGCTGAAAAAAGTGCTGACCCCTTGGATAGGACCACAAGTGCGAACCGCCGGGGGACACATTATCGATCCGGCAGGCATGTGTACCTCTAGAGTTGGGATACGCGGCTTCACCTACGTCGCCAGCTTCATTGTCCTGTCGGAGTGTTCAAGAGATGCAATTATCAGAATGGACTTTTTGCAGGCCAATGGCGCAGTGATAAACTTGCAGGAAACGTGCGTCTCGTTTTCGACGAAACACGCCATCGCGACTTTCGAGAGTGAAAAACGATTCGATGCGCTCCAGATTGCAGGTGATGATATTACAGTACATGCAAGATCCATCATCGTTGTCACCGTAAAAAGCAATGTGTACAACGACTAGGAAGGAATGGCAGAAAGCAATACTGGGCTATTACTCGAGAAAGGGATCTGTGCAGCAAGAGGTATTGTACGACTGCGTGATGGGTGTACGAGTGTCTTCCTGACAAATTTCCGAAATGAGGTGCAGCACCTTGCGAAAGGAACTGTGGTTGGTCACTTGCATGATTACGTTCCGATTACGGATTTGAATTCTTCCGAGACTGCACCACTGCACCCTGACGGTATAGATTCCATACTCGCATCTACCCACATCGAAGCAGCCCTATCACCGAACCAGAAACAAAAAATCGAGAGCCTTATACGGGAGTACGCCTCATGTTTTTCCACGTCATCGAAAGTGCAAAGAACATCTATCATCAAACACTGCATCATAGTCGATCAATCTGTTAGACCTATTTGCCAGCACCCGTACCGAGTGTCACCAAAAGAGAGAGAAATCATCAGAGGCCAAGTTGAAGAAATGCTCAGGGACGACGTAATTCAACCGTCGGCCAGCCCATGGGCCTCACCTGTAGTACTGGTAAAGAAAAAGGACCAGACCTTGCGCTTCTGCGTTGACTACCGAAAATTGAACGTCGTCACAAAGCGGGATGTCTATCCCCTTCCAAGGATCGATGACACCCTTCACAGACTACGAGACGCGAAATTCTTCTCCTCTCTAGACCTCAAGAGCGGATACTGGCAGATAGAGGTGGACGAACGAGATCGCGAGAAAACTGCTTTCGTGATCCCAGATGGGTTATACGAGTTCAAGGTACTCCCATTTGGCCTGTGTTCCGCACCCGCCACATTTCAGCGGATGATGGATACTGTGCTGTCCGGGTTAAAATGGCAGTCCTGCCTTGTTTATCTCGATGACGTCGTGATCTTTTCGGCCACCTTCGATCAGCATGTGGAACGACTACGTACTGTGCTCGAAGCGATTAGTTCAGCAGGGCTGATGATAAAACCCCAAAAGTGCCATCTTGGTTTTCGTGAACTGCTTTTCCTCGGTCATGTGGTTAGCTCTGAAGGCATTCGACCTGACCCCGAAAAGACAGCAGCTGTAGAAAAGTTTTCTAGACCGACAGATAAAAGAGCTGTGAGACGATTCTTAGGACTTTGTGCCTATTACAGAAGATTCGTTAAAGATTTTTCGAAGATTGCGGAGCCACTAACCCGACTGACGAAAGAGGACATGCCTTTCACCTGGACAAGCGAGCAAGAAGAGGCGTTCAATGAGCTACGACAGCGACTCCTACACTACCCTGTCCTGGCACATTTCCACGAAGAAGCCGAAACAGAGATTCACACGGACGCAAGCAATTTGGGACTAGGCGCCGTCCTTGTGCAGCTGCAAAACGGAGAGGAAAGAGTGGTCGCATATGCTAGTCGCACTCTTTCGAGAGCTGAAATAAATTATTCGGCGACGGAAAAAGAATGTCTGGCGGTAATATGGGCCATACAGAAGTTCCGACCGTACTTATATGATAGACCATTTCGAGCAGTGAGCGACCATCACTCGTTGTGCTGGCTCGCAGGCCTAAAGGACCCTTCTGGGCGACTTGCTAGATGGAGCCTCAGGTTGCAGGAATACGACATAACAGTCGTATACAAGTCGGGTCGCAAGCACAGCGATGCTGATTGCCTATCACGCACACCAATGGAATCTGCACCTGAGGAAGATGGAGACGACTTTCCGTTTCTTGGGGCCGTGAGCACCGCAGACATGACTGAATATCAGCGATCTGACGTGGAGTTGCTTAAACTGATCAAGCATCTGGAAGGGCAACCCGTGCGTGTTCCTCGAGTTTTCGTCCGGGGATTGTCCTCGTACCTCATGAGAAACAACGTTTTGTACAAAAGAAACTTCGAGCACAGCAAGGAGAAATTCCTACTCGTCGTTTCTTCGGTCTTGCGACCCAAAATCCTGAAAGCCTGCCACGATGACCCAGCAGCAGGACACCTCGGAGTGAGTAGAACATTGGCTCGCATCCGCACCAAGTACTACTGGCCAAAGTTACTGGATGCTGTACAGCATTATGTAAGGACATGTACAGATTGCCAGAGACGCAAAACGCCTCCATTGAAACCTGCAGGATTTCTCCAACCAATTGAACCACCTGAGTCTCCGTTCGAACAAGTAGGAATGGATCTACTTGGGCCATTTCCCACGTCATCAATGGGCAACCGATGGATAGTAGTGGCGACAGACTACTTAACCCGGTATGCCGAGACAGCCTCTCTCACCAGGGGCACGGCTATAGAAGTAGCTGAATGTTTCGTCACTAACATTTTACTACGGCATGGTGCCCCAAAGGTGGTTATCACGGATCGAGGAACTGCATTCACAGCCAATCTGACGCAGTTCATTATGAAACTTACCCACACAAGTCATAGGAAAACAACGGCTTACCGTCCCTAAACTAATGGGCTAACCGAGCGACTCAACAGAAATCTAACCGATATGTTGTCCATTTACGTTGACTTGGAGCACCGTGCGTGGGACAAGATACTGCCGTACGCCACTTTCGCTTACAATACTGCTGTGCAGGAGACTACTAAAGTGACGCCATTTCAGCTAGTCTATGGTCGAGTAGTTACCACACCATTAGATGCAATGCTGCCTGTAGGCGACAATACAGAGCACAAGCCTGACATCAGCGAATTCATTCAGCGAGCCGAAGAAGCACGGCAGTTGGCGCGACATCGCATAAAACAACAACAACGCGTGGATGCAAACCGTTACAACCTTCGTCGGAGAGGAGTCGACTACGCACCAGGCGACCTAGTTTGGATTTGGACTCCTGTGCGGACGCCTGGCCTTTCCGAAAAGCTCATGCGCCGCTATTTCGGCCCTTACCGAGTCCTTCGTCGCGTCAGCTCCTTGAACTACGAGGTGTCACCGGAAGGACAAGTGAGCTCATCAAGATGCCGAAGGAGCACAGAAATCGTGCATGTAGTCAGAATGAAGCCATACTATGACAGGCAATGAACATCGAATTATACACACCCGATTATGAGGAATACCTAATTCTCCATTGGAAATCACGCATTCAGACCATCTCAGCAACACTGCTTTTACGCATCGGGACGATGCGTTTTCGGAGGAGGGATAATGACGCAAGGCGAACGAAGTATTCAAACTACGCGCGCTAGTTCGCGCGCCCCCCCAAGAGATCAGTGGCTTGATGATCAAACAAGAAAAGGCCGTGACGGCGCGCGCTTCCTCAGCACGGGATTTTGATGAAAAAGAAGTGGACCACCGCTCGAGGGTTTTTTCTCTCTCGGAGATTGATCCCTTTTTGCTGATCGCCTGTTACAGACGCCGCTACTTTTCGGGCACAAGTTCGCCCCAATAAACAGTTATTCGTACACCATTTGGATTGTACGTAACAATATGAACGGAAATGATCTGGAGTGCCCAGTGCACAATTGCGCTTGTCAGGTCGAAGTGGCCAAAGTGAGGGGCCCTTTAAGGTGTTCACTGATAGGGAAAAATTGGTCCTACGTGAATAAACCTGGCATCCCTCTTTGCTGAGGTATCAGTCGTCTGGTTGTTTGCTCCTGCACTGCCCTTGCCAGCCACAACGAATCGAAAGAGACCCAGGAGAGTACCAATTGAATGGTAGACACTTGACGCAATATGCTAGACAACAAAAACGAAAGACCACATACTGCGAATCACGCGGCAAATGCATGCCTATATTCAATCATTGGTACATTTCTGCTATCTTCAGCAATGTAATTTTATTTTGCTTCTTGCCGTAGATGCAAGTCACCGACGTCGTTGTTTTGGGATAGTTAAATTTTATAGAAGTTTATTGTGCTTATAATTATAATTTTGAGGGCCAAAAACACTGTTTTACCTGCCTGTATTTGGCGCCTAGAACACACGTTTTTGGTGCCTAAAAATCTGGCCTCTAGTTATCACATGCACCTTACGTGCAACGGAAATTGCCGGCTCATCCAACAGCTGCTTTAGCCACGTTCGTCATCAGCGCTCGCGCGTGGTTAATCGCCCGTAGAACAGACTATTCGTGGAGTAATTCGACCTCTTTGCACCTACTATGAAACAGGATGGATTGATTTATATGCGGGGTTTAGCGTCCCAAAACCTCCATATGATTATGAGCGACACCATGGAGGAGGTCTCCGGAAACTTTAACCACCTGGGGTTTCTTTAACGTGCACCCAAATTTGAGCACACGGGCATACAGCATTTTTTGCCTCCATCGAAAATGCAGCCGCCGCAGACGTGATTCGATCCCGTGACCTGTGGGTCAGCAGTCGAGTGCCTTAGCCACTAGACCACCGCTGTGGGGTTATACGGAATAAGACGTCGATGGTGAAAACCCACCGTATGTAAAATATTTATTATGAGGTGTCTATAAAACGGAACTAGCTCGCGCTGAGCAGGAGAGCTTGAAGAACAACGGGGCAGCCTTATTCCTGCTTTGGGTACAAGACATGATCCTTTAATGACGATGAACTTCAGAAAAAGTGAATGCTATCGGGAAGAACACACATACATTCGCGAACGAATTCAGTGGAGCGATTAAAATCCCCTCCCCCCCAAAAATAAAAACAGGAGAAATAAATGGAGCAAGAACGTACCTAAACGTTCCTCAGTTCCGCGGTCTTCAGGAAGGACGCAGTCAATATTGTGAGCTTAGAAAACAAGGTGAGGACAATGTGTGCTGGAGCTTCTTGAACCGCCGTATTTAAAGGCGTACTGCTTGCACAGTGGTGACGCAGATGCTCAATAAAATAATGCGCTTTCACTTTTTGAAATCGTGAATAGAGTTTTCCACGTAACTTGACCGTTTATCACAACCATAACTTCTAACAGCTTGCGTGACTCTGCCCTAGACGTAAAAAAAAATATATATATATGTGCGGCTTTAAATGCACTTTGCAGTTTTACCTTGTACGGCGAGCATTTGTTTTATAATTTTCTACAAAAACAACAAAAAACAAAAAAAACGTACAAAACATGCATGTGTTCGTTGCGCAGGTGCAGTCGGATGTTATTCAGATTTCAGCGTATGTGACTCAATTAGTTGATGTAGAAAAGCCGCTGTTTGTTTTATTTATTAAGCCTGCAAATACACTGGAGTTATACTCAAAGACTAGCTAGTTGCACGAAAAAAAAGAATATCACTTCTTTGTGGTGGTGCCGTTCCCTCTGTTGATTGATTGATATGCGGAATTTAACGTCCCAAAACCACTTTATGATTATGAGAGACGCCGTAGTGGAGGGCTCCGGAAATTTCGACCACCTGTTGTTCCCTCTGCTTGTCCGTCGGTCAGTTGGAGCTACAATACGTTATTACGATCTCTAGAAATATATTTACCGCAGCGTTTGTTATTGCGTCTTTCATTAAAAAGCTCGAGCACTGCTGACACGTTTCCGGCACATGCGAAGAACCTCCGCACGTTATGCATGGCGCAGGGGCTCCGGAAGTATATCTGAAGTGTGGGGGTGACGTTTGAGGGCAGGGATATATCTAGCATAGCAAACCGTCACACCGGGATGAAAAAGGGCAACATGATAATGCCACGTGCCATGCCGTTCTGCGCAGCTGCCACTATAGAGCGACAGCCGTCGCGTCATTTAGATAGGCTAGAGCGGACTGCGATTAACTTACGATGAGCCCATCGTATCAGACAGTGCAGTATCTGATTATAGATGTGCGCATGTTCTGTGTTGTATTCTCAGCGCTTAAATAACTGGCAGCGCGTAAGTTGTGGGTTGTTCTCTGGTGGAACGGCAGCTGTGCATGGGCACGCTGCTCCGATCCTGTTAGTGTTCCTTTTGTGTCCTAAGCGAGAGGCACAAGTACGCCTCCTTACTAATAAACCTTGTCTGCCGCACCCTCGTCTTCTGTGGATTCCAGTGACGACGACGCGCGTGACAATAAGGCTAGTTCAAGCCTTCGTGACGAGCCGAATAACGTACGTAGCATCCTACCTCAAGTGGCAGGCATACCGGAAAAGACAAAGATGGATGGCTTAATCAGGAAGGCGTACAAACAGGCGACAGAGCTACCGATGAACACGAGCACGACTAAATTACTCGATATGATTCTACACAGCACGCTGGAGAAATCGATAGAGGCACAGATCATAGCACAGTACGAACGTCTTTCGAAAAGCACAGCGGGCAGAGACACACTGGAGAGTTTAGGGATTAGACATCACACTTAGCACGGTGTCATATTTGACATACCAAGCAATTTAGGAAATAGGCTGGTCATCCTTTCGTTGCCGAAGAACATGTTCCCCAATTACCACAGGGGTAGGCGGGAAAAGAGAGCACAGGACATACAGAGGAAGTATGGAAATTTTAGAGAGGCAGTGTTCGTGGACGCAGCCAGGTATGCGCACAGGTGTGGCTTCGCGGATGCTGTAATTGATCAGCAGAACGTTTGCAAGACTTGCGTCACAGTACGCATGGAGCACGTGGAGACAGCAGAGGAAGTCTGTCGTGCTTGCAGTGGCCACTACCACTGCCGAAGTGGTTATCAGAGACTCAAAGAGGGCAGTCCGCATTCGCCAATGGCCTCGTCTCACCCGGGGCGTTACGAATTTCACTCGCGGGCGAAATTGAAGATAGGGATGTTTACGTATTATGGACGCTCGTCCACACTGCCTCGCTCACCGGCAACGAGGCGGCTCGAGGGCTTACGGACCGAGCCGCCGCCATCACCACCGCCACCTCGGCAGCGACATCGGGTGAGGAATAGATGTGGGAGGATCGCCTCGCCAGTTTTAAAGATATTACCCACCATTACAAATTGACCAGGTGCAAATTTCTGCCACCACACCAAAAACTGAATAAAAGGCAGACGGTCACGTAGCGACAGCTGCAGACCAGGACGTTTACAAACCCGGTGATCTTGAGTCTCTGTTACCCGGAGCTTTATGCGTCGCGCTGCAAGTTTTGCGAGGCCAGGGCAACCCTGGAACACATACTATGGGAGTTGGGCAGAGGTGGGACTCCAGACGAGGACGCAGCCTCGAACCCAACACGCTGGGAGAGTGCCCTGCTCTACCATGCCCTCGAAGACTAACTGTGGGCCGTCCAGTGGGCCGAGGTCATCCCTAGAGCTCAAGGGCTCGTGGTCGATACCTAGGCGGGGATATCTGCCCAGATCCCTGAATAACTCGCCGGACGTTTTTTTAAAAATAAAGTTGCGTTTCTCTCTTTTCTTGGAATTATTAAAACTCACACAGAACAATGCTTTTCTTGATTTTCTTACGTGGAATGTAATGCTGATTGCCTTGGAATTATGCGATGCGAATTTGACGCGTTTCTGACAGTGCATCATAATTCGTGACTGGTGGTGGTGGTAGTGGTTAGAAGATGAGAAAGGGCACCTAATTTCTGCAACCCAATCGGCAGCACGGCGGTGTGCCTGCGTGACTGTAGGGGCTACAGTGCGTCAGTTTTAGATGGCCCGCGCGCTCACCTCCTCGTGACTACGTCCACCCGTGATGCCAAGTTCAATGCCTCCTAGAAGGCGTCGCGAACTTGAGGAGTTACCCCTAGATCTAGGGATTTTAGGGGCTAAGCTTCTTAAGCCGTGGGTCATGCGTCTGCGATGTTTGTAGTAGTAGTAGTAGTAGTAGTAGTAGTAGTAGTAGTAGTAGTAGTAGTAGTAGTAGTAGTAGTAGTAGTAGTAGTAGTAGTAGTAGTAGAAGTAGTAGTAGTAGTAATTGTAGTAGTAGTAGTAGTAATTGTAGTAGTAGTAGTAGTAGTAGTAGGTTGCCACCTACACGGTCGGACTAGAGAAGTGGCACGCGCGCACCCTTTTCAATTGAGGAGGAAACCCACGCACGTTAATCATAATGAAAAGATAGTTGTTTCTGATGGAACAACTTACAGAGACGAGTATTGGTGACTTAATCTCCAATAAAATTTGCCTTGAATTCAGTGCTTACAAAAAAAAAAAATCTAGAATCAAAAGGACGCACTTCCAGCACTATCTGACCAGAAAGGTTTGCCCCGTTAAACTCGCTGGGCGTAACCTCCTTGGTTTCAGCAAGGTTTAGCGAGGGTTGGGCAGGAGTAGTACGTAACCACCAGTGGCACATACCCAAAATAGGTATAACATTAGACCTCCAAGGTGGTGCCTGTGAGAGATTTCTTCTGTGCGTTGTTTAACAATAAAAAATAGTGCTCATTGTACATGCCAATGGCTGCTAATGGGGAATGAGAGACAGGAGCATTCGGCTTTTAGTCAACGCGCACGCTGCGATCCCCATTAGCAGCCATTGGCATGTACATTGAGCACTATCGGACAAGAAAGGGTTGCTACATTATACTCGCTGGGTGTAACCTCCTTAGTTTTAGAAAGGTTTAGCGAGCGTTGAGCCGCAGGGCCATGAGTACAATGAACTAGTATATACCATGAATGAATTCGATGTGGTTAAAGGGGGAAGCAGATACAAAGCGCAAGCCGTAAGAAATTAAAAGCTGAATCCTCCTGTCTCTCATTTCACATTAGCAGCCACTGGCATGTACATTGAGCACTATCTGACAGGAAAAGGTTGCTACGTTATACTCGCTGGGCGTAACCTCCTTGGTTTTAGAAAGGTTTAGCGAGCATTGGGCCGCAGCGCCATGAATACAGTGAACTATTATATACCATGAACTCAGGGTGGTTGAAGGTGGGAAGTAGACCCGAAGTGCAAGCCGTAAGAAAGTGTGCGTGTGCCACCTCCCGTTTAGTCCTTGGAATGTCCACTGAATGGCGGTGCTTCTATATGGGGAATATATGATAAAAAGAGGCGAGATGGTGGGACTTAGAGCGTTGAAAAGATGGACGAACGGACACACAGACAGATGCATGGATGGACGCATGAACGGACGCAGGGGCGGATGCGTGAACGGACGCAGGGGCGGATGCGTGAACGAACGCAGGGACGGGCGCATGAACAGACGCATGGACGGTCACACAGACGGACGCATGGACGGACGAATGCATCGCCCCACTCTCCATCATTTACTTCGTGGATATGCTACCATTTTTTTTCTAAACACAATTTAGGCTATTTCATGCTATTTTTCTCATTTAAGACAGTATTGGAAGTCTGATGAACCTTGTAAAGGGGCGAGCAGTTTTGTAACGCGAGCTAATTCTAGTATTAGTACTGAGGCGAAATAAACTCTCTAGTCGTAAGAGTTAAGCATGCGCACATCATGAGCGCCCTGGGTGATTGCTGCATTGTGATACAAAAATAAATGTTGTCTTGTAGAGCACATAAACACGTGTCGAGATTGCGATCACTTCGCGCCTCCACCGAACAATGCCTCCATGCAAATAATGAGGAATATTATTAAAGACCAGAGCAAAAGTAGGACTGAAGATTTGGGAAGGTGCTACGCGTTCAATATTGCTAAAAGGGTGCAGTGCAAAGAGACAAGAAGACTGTTCGGGTGTTTTAGTCTTTCCGTCATCAGCTTTGCATGAAAGCGGATAAGTGACGAATAGATTTGGCCAAATGGGGAGCTGATCGAAAGTACAGAGGAAAGGTGTAGTTATCAGCCATTAATAGAGCGCCAACTTACACGCACTGAAACTATGCAGTAGTGATTACAAATGTGGAAAATTAAAAAGAGACCATCAGCTGTAAAGCAGCGAGTACAAGGAAGGCGCTAGAGACTTGCGGTTGACCCGCATGATCACATATATGTCTTACACGCTTGTGCAAAGTGAATTTGACATGCGGATCTATTTATTTATTTATTTATTATTTATTAGAATAACCTCAGGGCCCGTAGGGCACTACAGAGGGGGTGGATACAACATTTATAACACACAAGAAAAAAGAGACAAAATAAAGAAACAAGTGT